CCCACAGGCTTCAGGAAGGGACGGCGCCTGTGGTTCCAGTGAGGAACCTGCAGAGCAGGGGGCTGTAATCCAGCAGCGGGGGAATGTTTAGGATGCTCTTCACCTTCTGGGAGTTTCCTGCTCCCGGGTGGACGGGAATAGGAAGGTGCCGACAATCAGGGCGCATCCCTTCCGCACCCTCGCTTCCTGGAAGAAAGCGGAGAGGACCACCCGAGCAGAGAGACCTCAGAGCGGGTGCAACTGCCCTGCTCGCTGGCGCCACGGAGTCATGTGGCCTCCACATCCTCCCACTCGGGCAGCATTAGATGCACTTAGTTGGAGTATAATCACGGTAGAACCTTTCACCTGAGGTTAAAGGTGAAAAACGTCAGCAGCAGTGAGTCATTGAAGAAAAATACTGCCCGGCTGGCGTGGCTCAGGGGCTGAGCATCAACCTATGAACCAGGAGGTTAAGGTTCCATTCCCGGGCAGGGCACAGGCCCAGGGTGTGGCCTCGACCCCCACTAGGGGGCGTGCAGGAGGCAGCTGATCAATGATTCTCTCTCATCACTGATGTTACTATCTCTCCCCCTCACCCTTCCTCTCTGAAATCAAGAAAAAAAAATTTTTTTTAAACTGTGCAAGTTAGCCTAGAAAGTGAAAAATTAAATTAGAATACGTAACAAATCTACACCTAATCATAAGAAGTTCAGAGTTATTCACTTTCTGGTTAACTACTATTAATTTGTGAAATCTTTTCATAGACAGATTACATATCCTGTGAGTTGATTCTTTCAAGTGGATAACATAGTCAAGGGAACTTGCCTGAATTGTTACAGATTGTGGTAGTATTTTATCATTTTTACAGACTGACACCACCATCTCGGTAGAAACCAATAGAATTTTTTTTTAATGAATAAGAATGTCGCCCAGCCTAAGATATTGATTAAGAAACCTAAACCCCAATTGACCTTGAGGGTTGGCATGTGGACAAGGATCGTGTTGTCACCTGGGTGTTTTAACGTTAACAGAAGGGAGGGGGTGGGGGCGGGGACAGGGGAGACAGGCAGAAGGCAGTACCCCCATGCCCTCCTGATTGGAGACAGGACCCACCTCCCACACAGCCCTCGGTCTGGACGGGAGGAGAGGGTGTGGCAGACCGCCCTGTGAGTGCAATGCCCTTTGAGGGAGTGATTCCTCGCCCAGGTTCAGCCTTCAGGCCCCCCACCTGGCCACGCCCATAAGGAAGGAATGTGTGGACGACCAGCTCAGAGCCAAACCGCCAGCTCTGCTGTCCAGCTCCGGAGTGCGCGGCTGCCTGGGCAGACACGTCGTCTTGGGCCCCAAGGGTCAGGGGCGTGGAGCCGAGTCAGAGCGAACAGCACTGCCAGGCTGGCCCTCTGGGCGGTGGACTTGGCTTCTCTGCGGACTGCAGTTCCTTAAAGGGCTGGAGCAGGACCCAGCCATCTAAGAACGCCTGGCAAGCCCAGTGCCGGGCGCAGGAGGGCACGCAGTCCTGCTCCCCCCTGGCTGGCCCTGTCCGGAGACCAGGGCAGCAGACTCCTTCTGAGCTCTTTCAAACGGCAGTTGTTTTAACCAGTTTCCAGGTTAATGCCTTCGTTGTCATTGTTAATCTTTAGCCAGGGTTAAAGGTCCTTGTTACCAAGTCCCTGATAAAGCACATTCCCTGCCAACTTATTTTCGGTGAAATTATGGAAAATTCTTTTTTCCAACAGTGAGACGGGTGCCTGGCAGGGAGCTAAAACTTGAAAGGGAGTTTCTCTTGAGGAAAAGTTATTGTCCTTGCACATTTCTGGTCATCGTTTTGGCTCACTCAGGCAGCAAAGCTCCATTCCACCCCCTCCCCCCACCCCCCATCCCCTCCTCGGCCACGGCATTTACGGGCTGGACTTCAGCCACTGGGACAGCAGCCTCCTGGCCTGGACCTGGCTGGGTAGGGATGACCCTCCCCCGCCTGCAGTTCACAGCTGATCCGGGGCCATAAGGCCTCTTGCACACTTCAGCTTGCCGCTCCAACCAGCTGTGGAGCGAACTCTGATCCCCATCCTGCAGACGGGAAAACTGACTCAGATGTGAAGTGTCTCTCGGTGACATGCCTAGACAGGACGGGGCAGGATCAGGACAACATCCACACTGCTGTGGTCGAAGTCCAGTTCTGATCCCATGGGTGGTCAGGGAAGGCACCCAGGGCTGCGGGCCACAGGGCGGGGAGCCCTCACTGGGGCCCAGCAGCCAGTGGGAGTGGCCGTGGAGTCACCTGAATGTATATAGTGCCCCACAGAGGGTAAGAATCTCCCCGTAACGGGTAGGGCATGTGGTCATTACTTATTTATCATTTTTATATTCTTTCAAACATAGTGTTTCCCAAACGTAACTAACCATTGGGTACCCCTGGTATACTTCTTCAAAGCCAGGTTCCCGGGCCCACCCAGCTCTGTTGAGCCGGGATTTCCGGGGAGATCTCTTTTGGTCACAGCCACCTCTCCAGGGAGCAGGGGTTCTGGGGCCAACGGCTGAGGGTCACACTTGGGCACCAACGCGTGCTTGAGCAAGTTAGCTAACCGCCCTGGTAGCCGAACTGTTATGAGGGTTAGAGGAGATGATATAAGGCAAGCTCTTAGAATACGTGGTTCTTAGATGCTAGTTGGTATTATTAGGCAGCGTCCTAACTGCTGATAAAGGTTCAGAGACCTGGAGTGTGGGATAACCCCTGTCAGGTCGCAGAGGCCGCTCGCAGAGTGGGTGGGGCTGCAATCTGAACTCAGGCCTGCTGCTCCCAGGGCACACCCCTCCCCTCGCCACCCACCCTCGGTTCCAAGTTACAGGACAGACAGGCAGGTGCCCCTCGGAGCCAGGAACTCAAGGTTAGCGAACCAGCTGGTTCAGGAAACAGAACCTGAACAGGTCACGGATGACTAACGAGCTGGCTGAGGGCTGCTGTGTCGTGGGGGGCGGTCCCTGCCCTTGCATGGCGGCGATGACTGTCACATCGAACCTGTAAGGGAGGCACGGTGCCTCCCGGGATGGTTGGTGAAGACTGGGATGTAACTTTAAAAGTGACTGGTTGACTTAGAGGCCACTGTAGGTTAACGGCCCTCATCACACTCTTGTGTCTCAGGGGACAGAGAGGCCCCAGGAGAGAGGAGACAGACCGACAGAATGGCCAGTGGGTGGGCAGCCAGAGCAACACATTGATCCACTAAGTCCCCATCCTTTCTGGGAGCTGTCCCTGCTGCCCCAAACAGTGTCAACAACAACATCAGAGACCACGGATCCCAGGTCCCCATCACAGATGGAATAAGGACGAGAAAGTCTGCAGATGGCGACAGTTACCAAACTGACACAGACTGAAGGGCTAATGCTCCTGGGAGAATGGGCCCCTCATCTTGCTCCACGAGGGCTGCCGCTAACCGTCAACTTGTAAAAAAAACCCGCTGATGCACCGTGAGAGGAGGGACGCCTGTATTTCCGCATCAAGGAGCCCTCCTCCCACCAGCCCCTGCCCTCTAAGCCTCTGTTCTGGAGCTTCACAGCCGCTCCCGCTCCTCGCACCCCTTCCATCACTCCTTCAGACGTGAACACTGACCCTGCTGGAAATCAGAAAGCTGCCCGCGTGATGTGTACAGCACAACACTTTTTTGTTGACTCCTGCAGGTCCTCACCCGCTGGTGACCGGTCAGTGGGCTTCTCTCGTCGGGGCCGGGGGGCTTCGCTCAGCCCACCTGTGCCGTGCGGGCCGCCATCCTGCCTCTCATGGCTGCTCTGAATTTCCGAAGCTGATTCCTATCCCCGCAGAGCCTCAGGGAAATGTGGCGGAAAGATGCCCCCCCCCCCCCCCCCCCGGTAAAGTGAGCGACCTCATCCTGGAACACATTCTTCGGTGCCCTGTGCAGCCCATCCCGTGAGATGTGGCACTGTCCCTGACCCTGGCCCCGCCTGCTATCCCCAGCATCCCATGAGGCTGCGTAACAGCATGACTCCCCGGTGGACCCCGGGAAGTTCCTTGTTGAGAAGCACCTGTTGTAAAACTGGGAAGGAAGCCACAGGCCCCAAAATGGAACCACTTGGGCTAAGCCCACGACACCAAACCAGAACTTTGTACCTGACCTAGTTGCCGTCTGGACTCTCCCCAGGGATGGAATCCTAACTGGTCCGTCTGGAATTTCCTGGTCAGCACCTATGGGGTCACGAAGTCATCTGCCCAGTCGCTCCCTTTCCATTCCCCAGGGAAGATGAGTTCATCCTTCCTTTCCGATCCCCTCCGCTGCTGCCCATAAGGCCTCCCACTTTGGACAGCTCCCCAGAGCTCCTCTGCTTGCTAGAGGCTGCTGCCCTGTTCCCCAACCCTTCAATAGCCACCTAGGTCTTCATCTACTCAGGTCAGTTGTCATTTAACAACCGTCACCGTTCACTGTCATGAAATACTGTCAGGACCATGAGGTGCTTCAGGACACCTCTGTCATTTCAACCTTCCTGGGGGAGGGGGACAGCAGGTCCCTCAAGGCCTGGGATGCTGGGCTCCTTCTGGGTAAACAGGGAAACTACATCCCTCTCCCGCCTCCCACTGCCCCTCCCCTCCTTTCCTCCTTCCCACCAGGACAACTGGGTCCCTCCCACTGACTCGGTCCCTCCAACTGTAGAAACAACAAAGGCAGCTCAGGACGCAGCAGTATTTGATGCTGATTGCTTCTCCCAGAGGAAGGCTTTCACACACGAGGCCGTGCTACTATTGGTTTTATTTTTAACTTTTTCTATTTCCAGTTTCTCTAGAGTATTTCTGGGTTCCCCAAAATAAGGCATGGCGAAATACCACGGACTTATAAAAAGGCACGTGTGGAAGTCATGGGAATTGGGTTGAGATTCGTGGACAAAGTTAGCTTTGGGTTTGGGTTATCTCTCTGCTACGAACAGCAGGACGTTTGGGGAGGTAGGAACACACCCGCATCGTGAAGTGTCTGGACCTGCTCAGGCTTCACTGGACTTGTCTCTGTCCCTCCCAGTCCGACCATGTCTGGAGAACTCCCACCAAACATCAACATCCAAGAGCCTCGATGGGACCAAAGCACTTTTGTGGGACGAGCCAGTCATTTCTTCACTGTGACGGACCCCAGGAACCTGCTGCTGACCAACCAGCAGCTGGAGGACGCCCGGAAAACCGTGCACGATTACAGGTAACATCGTGAGTGCGCTTCGGGCGGAATATGTTAATAGTCATCATGTTAGCCTGTCACCTTTAAACCTTCACTTAGCAACTTTACGTGTGTGTGTGTGGTGTGTGTGTGTGTGTGTGTGTGTGTGTGTGTGTGTTGCAGTGGAATCCTTTTTATTAAAAAAAACAGAACTAGGAAGACATGTTTTATTCCCCATTGCTGACACTTAACACACATGTCCAGGGGTCACAGTGCCCCAAAATAAGAGCCGCCCCTCCAACTCCCAGGTACCAATCTGTGAAGTCCCCTTTTCACAGGGCCCTGCCCTTCTCTCCAACACGCGCAATGCCTGCATCTACAGCCACCCAGGCATCCTTCTGCCTCTACTGCAGACAGCTTCATACAACAGGCAGATGGCCCAGAATTAGGGAGGCTGGTTGCTTCTGAGATAAAGTATAATGAACATCTGCATAACCTTCAAGTGGGCCAGGCCTTCTAGGCAGAAACTTCATTTGTTCCCACCCGACTACAGAACGATGAGAACCCTCAGGACAGCAGATAACAAGGTGCCTGGATTAGCCTCAGTCTACAAAGCAGGGGGGGGGATGCCTGGCCTGGGGGCGTATAAGGCTCAGGCCCTGCCCAGGCATTAGGGGCGAGGTAATTAAATGTTTGACCAAATACAGCAGCTAGTTTTTAAATTGATAATTATGTCTGGCCCGAGGATGATGTTATGAATACCCAAATGGCCCTAGATAAAGTTTGCATACAGCTACCTAAGCCAGTGGTTCTCAACCTTCCTAATGCCGCGACCCTTTAATACAGTTCCTGGTTTGTTGTTTGTTGTGGTGACCCCCAATTTCACTGTTACAAATTGAACATCATTAAAGCATAGTGATTAATCACAAAAACAATATGTAATTATATATGTGTTTCCCGATGGTCTTAGGCGACCCCTGTGAAAGGGTCGTTCGACCCCCAAAGGGGTTGCGACCCACAGGTTGAGAACCACTGACCTAATCACTACCAGCGCTGACGCTGATGATAAAGGAGAGGGAAGGAGAGAAGACACTTCACGTTCTAATCTTATACCTCGCGTTTATCTCAGCAGATGTGCTCATTTCTTTCCACAGGGTCTTAGAAGCGGGGATAGATTTATTTAAGAGGGTATTTACTTCCTGGTCCTTTACTGTCAGCGTAGGGGCCGATATAATACGCTATTTCACAGCCCACTTTAAGAGGATGACGGACTAGGTCCTGAGGCTGACGTAACAGAGAGCCCCAACCTGAGTTCCTTAAAACAACAGGAACACATCCCCTCCCTGTGCCAGAGATGAGGCCTCTGAGACCAAGAGGAGGGCAGGCCTGTGCCCGTCTGAGGCTCCAGGGAGAGTCGTCCCTTCTCCCTCGAGCTTTCGGTGGCTCTGGGTGCCCCCTGGCTGGTGGCCACATGGTGAGACCTCCGCCTCTGGCAGCCACGGCCTTGTCTGTGCCACTGCACGTGGCTGTCCTGTACGGGCCGCTCATCCTAGAGTGGCGTCTGCAAGGGCCCTGTTTCCAAATGAAGTCACATCCTGGGGTTCCAGGTAGAGGTGCTTTGGGGGGGAGGATTCCACCCAGGATAGATGGTACAGAGAATATCTACAGACGCAGAGAAACGCTTACTAAATCTTACTGATAAGAAAGGTGGTTACAGAACAGCAGGTCTAGTGTGACGCCTTTAAATAAACACGCGCATAGAGATCTTAGGGAGGATGGGCAGTGTGGTCAGTAACTCATCACTGTTAGGTCAGAGAGAGCCCAGGATCGGATACATGCAGACGTGTGACGAGATAATGGACTCCCCCTGGCATTTCTAACAGATCAGTGTGCCAGACACAGATACCGGCTTCTCCCTGAATCAACACGACCCCCACACGGATACTGACTCCTTCCTGAATACCCCTGTTGACCCCCTGCAGCGGGAACTTCCTCAGCTGAATTCCTCAGCTCATGTCCCCGCCCCTCACCCAACAGCAGTATAAAACAACCGCCCCCCTCCCTGTTGGCGTGAATCCACGTGCCCTGTCTTTGGGGCCCGGGGGTCTCCCGGGGACGCAATAAACCTTTCCTTTTCTTTCTTTTTCTGATTCACGGGACTGTGTTTATTTCCTATGCCGCCTCCTGAGCCACCCAACCTAACAATCACCAGGGGTGCTGAGCAGGTGAAGCTTCCGTGGTCGAATCGCTGCAGTGAGCTTCTGTAGTCCCTAAATTTCTAGCAGTGCAGATGTGTTTCTCTGGTAAAGAGAAAAAATAGTGAGCCTGCCTAATCTAGGTTTTCAAACTATAGATATAAAAATGAACTAATGTTCTTGATTGCCACAGCTTTTGTCCAGTTGTCTAAAAAATATTTAAATATGTCATTTAAAACAAAGAATATTTCAAAGTCGACTACTTCCCTAGTATAGCAGGTCTGTTTCGGTTTTTCCAAATGACAGAGGATGTGAGAGGTGTGGGTTGAAATGTTCCTCTGCAGCGTTACTGTCCTTCGTGCTGGTGAAGTTTCGCCGAGTCGGTAATGGACTTGCCGCTCCGTCCAGGAGGGAAGTGTGACCTGCGTGCCGCCTCGCTGCCTGTCCGAGACCGCGGGCGAGGCCTTCGGAATGAGCAGCTGTGTGTGTTTGTTTCCTAGACAAGGAGTGGTCCCTCCGGGGCTCACTGAGAACGAACTGTGGAGAGCAAAGTACATCTATGACTCAGCGTTCCACCCCGACACCGGAGAGAAGATGGTTCTGATAGGACGAATGTCAGCACAGGTTCCCATGAACATGACCATCACGGGCTGTATGATGACATTTTACAGGTGAGCTGTGGCGCGGTACAACAGTTCCCTTCGTATTGCAGCAACTTCACGTAGGTTTGGGTGTAAATGATGTTATTGAAATAAATGACTCCCTGCCGGGCCCCACTCTGTACAGATGCAGCTCCAGGCCTCTGCAGTGCCTGTTCCCTCTGCTGCATAGTATTCTCTCTGCTGCTCAAAGGGAGGCCGCACTTTCCCCCTAAAGCTCAGACCCACAGGAAAATGCGGAGGAGGAGGAAAGTACAGTGTCCATGCGGATTCTCTTTCCCCCCATTCAGGAAGGGGCAGGTGTGGAGATGGGGCGGAGGTGCAGGTGGGAGGGGTCAGGACCACTTAGCCTACAGACGGCTTCCTCTTCTCCCAGGAGAAGGGCCTGACAGTGACTGAGCTTCCACTGTGCCAGGCTCTCCACACATGTAAGAGAAGGTGTGAGTGAGCCCTGTCGTTGCCACGACCCCCTGACCTCGGTGTCACCGTCTCTAGCGAGTGAGGAAACTGAAAGGAGGGTCGATAAGATCTGCCCAGCCACCAGGCCCTACGCCCAGCACCCTCCCGTCACTGGGGCTCGAGTTTTCTGTCCCACAGACGGTGAGGCCGCAGGCAATGGTGGCGGCGTGACGCTCGCTCTGTTTCAGGACCACACCGGCGGTGCTGTTCTGGCAGTGGATCAACCAGTCCTTCAATGCCGTGGTCAACTACACCAACAGGAGCGGAGACGCCCCCCTCACTGTCAGGTAAGGCCCCGCTGCCCCTCCCGTGTCCATCGGTGGGGCGGGGTGCTCTCCTGGTTAAAGAGTCTGTTATGGAAGATATTCTCATCAGTGGTGAAGTGAGAGAATATTATCAAAGTTAATCAGGATATCAGGAAGAGGAACTTAGATTTATCATGATAGAAAAAAATGAACACCTTAAATATTTAAAGTCACTATAAATTTATTCTAAAGTCAACATATTATTGAAATATGTAAGCAGAGTTTTCGATACTTGACATAGAAGATGTTAAATTACTGAGTTTAGTATGGTGTAAGAAATCCTCTCTCCTTTATATTATCCATTTTATCCACTAAGATATGATATATGGCTGTCACCACCCCCGCCGTGTCCTGCGCGCTCACGGGCCCCTTCTCCATCCGCGTCCGTGTTCGGGTTGTGTCAGGTCCCTGTGAGGAATCGCGCTGTTTGTGGGTTACCTGCCTTTTCTCCAGGTTACTCCACCTGCAGGTGACTCTGTTTTCTGGACTCTCCGCTCTTATGCCCTTGCACAGCCCCCCATCATTTCCTTAAACAAGGGCCAGTTTCCCAATGGTCACCCGTTGTGTGTGCTGTTCTCTGTCTTCTCAGTGAGCTGGGAACGGCTTACGTGTCTGCGACAACTGGTGCCGTGGCGACCGCTCTAGGACTCAACGCATTGACCAAGGTGCGTGGATCTTTATTCCATGGGCAAGCTTGTAACTGCTTCTCACCGCCTGGCTCCTAGTCACTCCACTGTTTCTCAAAACAGTTCAAGTCCTAAGACTTTCTTACTATGATCATTCTCTTTGACTGCTTATTTTTGTGTGTGTGTGTGTGTGTTTTTTAAAAATATTTTTATTGATTTCAGAGAGGAAGGGAGAGGGAGAGAGAGATAGAAACATCAATGATGAGAGAGAATCATTGACCGGCTGTCTCCTGCACACTCCCCACTGGGGATTGAGCCCACAACCCGGGCATGTGTCCTTGACCAGAATTGAACCCGGAACCCTTCGGTCCGCAGCTCTGACACTCTATCCACTGAGCCACACCAGCTAGGGTTTGTCTTTTGTTCTTAGATTCCACATATAAATGAAATCACATGGTATTTGTCTTTCTCTGACTGACTCATTTCACTTTGCATAATACCCTCCAGGTCTATTCATGTTGCTGCAGATGACAAGACCTCATTCTCTTTTATGGCTGAGTAAAGTCCACCCCTTCTCCATCCACTCATCAGATCCATTCCTGCGTTGTGTGCACAGCCTAGCCCAGTGGTCGGCAAACTCATGAGTCAACAGAGCCAAATAGCAACAGTATGACGACTGAAATTCCTTTTGAGAGCCAAATTTTTTAAACTTAAACTATATAGGTAGGTACATTGTTATTAACTTAATTAGGGTACTCTTAAGAAGAGCCACCATCAAGGGGCCACAGAGCCGCATG